CCTCATGGAGACTTGGGAAATAAATAAGTGAAGTCCCTTATCGGTTGAATAGTATTACGTTGATAGCGGCTACATGTGGACGCTTCCAACTAATCTCTTCACGGCCACTTTTATGGTACGCGGTTGAGGCAAGTTACGAGTAGAGGCATCGGGGAAGTCCCGTCCTGGGTATTGCATTAGAAACATGAATCATGACGAAATGTTGAGTCAAATATGCAACATATTCTAATACGGAAAAGAAAAATTGTATACACATGACCATGATTGAAAATTTGAACATAAAATTAAAAAATATATATGATAAATAAACATTTTAAGAAGAAATATGCAGTATAAATAGAGATCTTCGAAAATATGATGCTTATTCATAAAACAGGCAAAATATGCATTTATATGCACCATCAAACCATGTCCAAAATTTAAGAAATGGAGTAATTCACACATATATCCAAAGGAGCATACTTTCTGGTTGCAAGAAAAAATATGCATTTGCATTAAAATCCGGTCCCTAGTCATAATGCCCTAGAATATTCAGTTTGTACATTAACCTTGTAAGTGCCTGCTTCAGTTCCTGCAGTGAAGGGTCAGAACGCTGCAAAATTGAGGTCCAGTAGAAATGCAGACCAGTGCTGTTATTATTAACTTACTTAGATTCATTGCCATTTTGAGAAAAATGAACTGAAATGTGTTTTAGTATTTAAATTATATTGGCTAAAAACCATACAAATGAACAGATTATACACAATGCACATAATTACTGATAATATTTTGGACAGCCCTAACTCAAAAGAGCAGTGCATGACCTGAAATTCAAAATGTTGGAAATTTTTACTATTTTGGCAGCTTATGATCAAAATTTCGACCAAATTGTTCATTAAAATTGTTATGAGATTTTTTATGCTGTTTTGCAGTAGCATGTCATCCAAATCACTAGTCCTCGTGTGGCTCCTCACAGCCATGGAATAAGAAGCCATGTTATCAGAGACAGTTGTTCTTACTGTCAGTAATGTTATTTTCAATGTCTCAGTGTTCAGTATTACAAGAGTCACTTCATTCTTCCACAGTATTCACAGTTTTATCAGTTTCATTGACTATGTTTTCTTTTGTAATTGCGATCTCAGGTTGTCTTATTATTCTGGCAAATAATATATATAATAGAACCCCCTGACTTTTTCAGATGTATGGAAAATATTGCCTACAGATATTTCTTGAGTATGTAGTTGAGATGGAATCAGAACAAATGTCACCTTTAGCAATATTTTGAAGGCAGAACTTTCGATCGTGGTATCACAAGCACCTGCATAATGTCAATATTTTCAACACTAGACACTTGTAGAGTTAACACATTGAAGTGCTGCAGTGTATGTGCATGATTATATGTAAATGAAAGTCATTTATTTCAGTATCCTTTGTCTCCCATATTTGCCACCACACTGAAAAAGAACCACATACTCAGTCATCTTCTTATATATGCTACTTTAGCTGTGGGTTTTGGTTCCACTAGTAGTTTTGGAGGCAAAATGGATTCGATGGATCAGACAGTTTTGCAGGCGTAGTCTTGATACATTTGTGCATGCCAAATGGAATATCTCATATTTGGCATGTGCTATTTGTATTTCCTTTGGCCATCTTCCTAAAGAGGGAGACTCTTGTTCATGCTTCCTCATTTAGAGATTTCAGATTTCACTGGCACTATAATTCCTGGCAAGTTGTGTGTGTGTTTTTTTTAACATTATGCTTTACATATGTCATAAATAAGATCCAGGTTAGCAAAGTTAGAATAGCAACTAGGCTATGGGCTGGATGACCTAGGAGTCAGGTTTTGATTCCTGAGAGGGGCAAGAGATTTTTCGCTTCTCCATAATGTCCAGACTGACTCTGGGGTCCACACAGCCCCCAATGGTGGGTAATTGGGGCTGTTTCCCTGGGCATGAAACAGCAATTACATGAAGTCAACCACTGACCTCCATCTGTTGCCAAGGTTAAGAATGGTGGGACTATATCTCTATTCCTCCATACACTATGGTGTAGTGATTGATTAATTAATATTTTTGTACTGTCTGTATTCGTTTTTTACTTTTCTATATCCAGTGGTTGTACCAGTATGGATCAACAGAAAAATTAAAAATATAAAATTAACCCCAGGGATAATGTCATCTTCGTAAATATGTATCAGTATTATAGGAGTATACAGGTGTATCACAACTCAACGGCAAAACTTCAGGAACGGACTCCTCATATAGAAAGAACAAAAAAAGTTTATGACAACATGGGTCCGGAAATGCATATAATTACAGAGTAGTAATTGTGTCTGCACGCCACTGAAAAAAATTGGCAGAGGAAAATTTATCACAAAGTAATCACAGGTGACGTCATGATAATCATAAAGCTGTCCTCCCAGTGAAAAGCTAACCCACCGATAGAAAGGCTGTCCTCCCAGTGAAAGGCCGACCCACCGATAGAAATCACTCATGTCGCCAATTCTTTTCAGTGGCATGCAGACACAATTACTACTCTGTAATTATATGCATTTCTGGACCCATGTTGTCATATACTTTTTTTCTTCTCTCTACATGAGGAGTGCGTTCCTGAAGTTTTGCCGTTGAGTTGTGATTCACCCTGTATACTGTTATTTTTCAGCTTCCTTCCATTTCTTCAATACGGAACTGCAAACTGTATATGTGTACAGGTTGCAAAAAATAAATGGAGAGTTTTGCCTTCTATCTTGATATTAGGTGTTATGGTTTCCTGTAAATCAAGTTAAGTACAAGTTTATCCCATTATGTAATATTCATGCAGATATCTGTATTCATCTTCTCTTGAACCTTTCAGTGTGGTAGGGTTTCCACTTCATAGTATGCTGTGCACTAGGAGAAATACAATAATATGACTTCCCCATCACTACCCCAGTTATGTTATCCTAGGCATATATGTGGGCTATGCATATCATCTGTCAGGCGCTGCGTAGCATTTACTTTAGTGCCTATTTTTGAAGCAAAATTGTAGACATATCATCTATAATTAACTGCTAGCAGCTACAATGAATTGCTGTTTCTCTCTTTTCAACTGATCCCCGATTTACTTAATGATTCTCTCAGCTACACAGGTTATTTAGTGCTGATTTTTCTTGTCTCTTCATAAGCAGACACAGCGGATAAACTTTCAGCAGTGTGTGCATGATACTATTGCAATAGGTTGTGTTATGGCCATGATACATATTTAATTACATTCCACATTCTGTCATTAATTGCTTCTGTTCATGAATAGTTTACAGTTCTTGTCTTTCTTGCAGTGTTTTTACCAAACCAGTCTCCAAGTATGAGTAGGTCCTCTCCAAGTCATCATACATCTAACTTACTTGCTAATATTCGGAAGAATCCAAAGCGACAACATCCTCAACCTTCCATCAACATACCACCCTTCCCAGTAAGTTCTTCACATAAGACAGCCTCAGATAATTGTTTTCACTATGTACTATATTTATCTGTTTTACATTGTTACATGAACTGAGTATTGATCGGAATAAATATTAAGTCTTTTCGTTATTAATTGATTTATTAGACTGATTAACCCTGTCATGATGTAAATGGTTGAAAATGCTGCAGCGTAAATAGTCGTTCTTGGCCACAAGAGTTTGTGTTTTCTTCCTGTATGCTCGTGATGTGTCTTGGAGAGTCACAGTGTTTCTTGATGCCTCAGTAGGTTCTAGGGTGTAAAGGGGAATATCCCTTCTGTACATTGGCTCTGGTGCCCATTCTTTTTTCCATCTCTCTCGGAATACTGGAGTAATAACTGGGTGTTTGATTAAGAGGTGGGGGGAAGGTTATAGACTTGATTGAAATGATTTATTGTGTCTTTATTTACTGCTGAATCTTTGAAAGATACTTGACTAATTTGTTTTTCACTTCAGCTAAAATAAGTACAGCATTTCCTGATATTTCTGTTCATTCAGTCATGAAAACCAGTAACAGTTTTTAACAAGTTTTGGCTCTTAAGTGAATGTTGCAGTTCTTCCATTTGAATGTTCTTTTTATAATAGATATGGGCAAGAAGGATGTGGGTCATCATCCCTTCAGTATAATTCCACAGGGTAAATGCAAGTGTTCCTTACAGTTTTGGAAATGTGTTGTGAAAGAATCATGTGAGGTAATACATCTGAATTTCCAGACATTAGATTACAGCTGTCAGAATTTGAGTCAATGCATGCATGTAGAGTTGCAACAATTTGCTGCTGGGTGCACTGCAGTCAAAATGGTGACAGTTTTCAAAAAGTGACATATGTCCTGAGATTTGATAAAACCAAATGAGTGAAATGTCATGGACACTGTTAAACAGAATATGGAGTGGATCCATCTAAGCTGTCCATTTATGCATTTAAAAATCGTGAGTCAGGTTGTATGCATAAGGGGAAAGTTCCCTTTTCTGCACAGTGTATATGGATGGCCCAACTTGATGTCTGTAGAGTTCTAGTAATGCACATGTCAGAGACTTCCAAGGGGTAAAATAAAATTTGTCAGCTATAGTTTATTGTCTCAATGTTCGGATGATGTATCTTCCCTGATTGCTTAAAAATAAATTTCTGAAACTGTGGAGATCATTTTTTCTAAACCTGTATTACAACAGCCTTTGTAGCAGGAGACTGAGGGAAGGCACGAGAGAACATTAAGGAAGCCTTCAAAAGTTGATAATTAATCAGAAAGCTTACAGCTCTGATTCCAATGAAGTGGCTGTTCTGTCCATCACTCTTTCTCTCCCACCAAACAAATTATGGTAGCCAGATCAGCTTTTCTTATGTCAGATTTTGAACATGATTATAGTTGTATAATTATAAGATACTTTCTGTTATGCAGTTTTTCATATATGATATTACAGTTTGAGATGGAAGCTAATACAGTGCATGAAACAAAATACATTCATAATTTGTTGCATAATATCTGACCAATTTTCTTTCATACAGCAGGGCCCAGATTCCAGTTCCAACACTTCCAGCTGCAACAGCTCAACTCCCTCAAGCCCAGCTCTTGTCATGACTACCCATACACCTCATTCTACTACAAAACAGCAGTTCCATTTTCCAGGCAAGAAATACTTATTTTTATTATTATGGAATGAAGTTGCCTTTATTAAATTACAGATACAGCATGACCTTTACATTATTCCTGCTCACTACAGTGGTACATTTGTATGTTGATGTCTGTATGCCAACATTTATGATCGCCATCAAGATTATTATATGTTTCTTATAGAATTTCCACATTAAGTTATGCCATTGCTAATTTTTTTTTTAATTATTAATCCCACAATATTTCCCAATGGTGCTGAAGTTGATAACTTGTTGATAGTTCAGTTTTCTGGTTTCCAGTATGCAGTTCTCTCAGAAAAGGCTTAGCATTTGCAAGTAACATTTGATTTGTTGTCTCGAACTTTTGAAGTTTTGCAAGAATCTCAGTAGCATATCACATTATGTGCTTCATTGGTGTTTATGTTCTTTGAATTTGTTAATCCTTTTATTGAGCATCCATTTTTACCCTTTCTACTGGTAATTTTTATAAACACATGCAACATGTTTGTGGAACCATAGATTATTTCGACAGACTCATTGACAAAAGAATATTTAGAGATTGCTCTAAATGATATAGGTCCGCCAAATGTTAATTCATGTACAGCAGTGCAGCATTCTCTTTAAAATAATCCCAGATACTCAGTAGAGCGTACCAATGCTAATCTCATAGGAGCAGATTGTACTTTTACACCATGGTATGCAAGATCACCATTACAGTTCATTAAACCATTAGCTGCAGTGATCTGTAAAATATCACAGTTGGTATCAAAACCAGAGGTTTCGAGATGTCAAGTAGGACAATATGAATTTCACCAACCTCCTCTTCCAAATTGAACTCATCGTCATCTTCATCAATGGGTACTGCTGGTTCATTCAGAAAGGCACAATTAGTTTTGTAGGTAACACCTTCGATATTTTCTTTTCAATGACATAAACCAGTTCATTTTTTTTTAATGCAAGAGTCTTCATCAGTGATTGACTTTTACATAGAACTTTTTGGGTCCTTGAAACATGATGTGATTGGTGTTCACCAGGGGACAGGTTGATAGCCTTGGCTGTTTCTTGGGTGTATCCTTCATGGGTGCTTTTTTGTCCAGCAGTACACGCAAATTGCAAATCAGCTGTTGCAGTCATCCTGTAACACCTTGGCTTTCGAGCTTTATTGACCATGTTGGCATTTAGGCTTTCATTAGCATTACTAGAAACACCACATGAAAATTTGTATGTGAAGCTATTTTCTGAAAAATATCTCTAAGCTCTTCAAATGATTGCTGATCGTTAAAACCTCCAGGAACTATTTTATGGTCGTAGTTTGCTTATCCTGAAGTTAGCTACACCACAGACCTACCACATTTACTGTGATCATTTAATGTGTGATACAGAATGCAAGGGATTGCATCTGCCATTGCTTTACTGTTGCCTTTATTCTGAGCCACAGCATATATAAAGCCTCATTTGAGGTATACAATAAGGTCTTTTGTTAACTCCTGGTGACTTTTCTCAGTGCTGTGTAATTGTTTCTTAACTCCTCCTGAGGCATGATTGACATCAGAATGTTTGATTATGGGATGAGTACTTGCAGCCTGACATGCTGCGGCTGTAGAGCTATCATCATCTCCTATCAAAACTTCAACTTCAACATTGTCAGATTGCAAAATAGCATTATCCACAAAAAGTCTTTTGGCAACATGCAGCTCCATTGCTTTCACGGATCCATAAAAGTCTTTCCAACACTCATGCTGTGGAGATTTCTTACGTTTTCTATTACATGTGGAGTAGTCTAAAACCACACTACTTAGATTACCAATGACTGCTCAGAAACCATTTTGTCCTGTACATCTTGTATTCCATCGCATGTCATTTGAAACAAAGATTCTCACTACATCATTAAATGTGAGTATCTTCTTGTGAATTGGAATCTTCTGGTTCTTTTGAGACAGCATCATTTTTGAAAGATGATGACTCGGAATTGTTATCCAGTAAGTGAGGATGTACTAGGAAATTTGACTGAAATTGCTCTGGCCTGAATGGAATCAGAAAGTAAAGGGATTGAAAATTACAGTTGCTGTTATAGATTCAATCATTTTATTGTTTATATATTGTGAATAAATAAATAATTTATAGAATAAAATATAAATACTACTAAAGAACCTTATCATAGTGATAATGGTAGCATAACTATCATATTTCACAAAGTGAATCAAAGTACAGAGATTTTTCACTAAATGAGTGCAAGTAATGTTATATTTTAGCATCCTGTTGCACTGACTCATGTCCATGATTTATACTAACCGTCTTACAGTGCACACACTTTTTCACCTTACTCTTCTCTTTTGCACTACATGTTTCAGCACTAATGTGCCATCTTCAGGTGCGTTTTCTGTATGCACATCTAACTACTGCATTGCATGCCCTGATGTCTTCATACTAAAATGACTAAAATATATATTTGTCATATATAATAATAGTATTTCACTAAAGATTGTCTGTGCAAGTCAACTGATCACTGTAATGACAAAAAAACGAAAGAAAAACATTATTTTTCTGTTAAATAAAGTACATGATATAAGCAAATCAAATATATAAAATTTGTGCAAATGTCAGCATTATTTACAATATCTTCACTTCATACTCACCAGTGATTCAGTTAGTATTTACATCTTCTCTCAGAAAGTGTTAGATCTCTATATTCATCACATTCGTGGAATACTATGAGATTATATTGTAGCATCCTGTTGCACATTTTTATTGTTCAACAGATGTCACTAATTCACTGTCTTACGTGCAACAGGTCATATGAAAACATATTTAAAAGTTTCTTCATCACACAATGCAACTTTTTGAACTTTATTTAAAAGTTCCTGTACATTGCACTAAATGTTTCAACCGACATTGGTCATAATGAGGTGATGAAAATTGGTACTGAAAACTGCTGTGCTTTTGTTTTGTGGTTCTGATATTCAGTGTGTAGTCACATTTATGCTCTTGTGTATCTATAACATATCTTAATGTCTTATGTTAGTATTTTTGTGTATAACATGTATTAATGTTCCAGATGATTACATGTTTATTACTTACTCCATGGAGCTGGGTGGCTGTCCTGTTGTGTTGTGTGTCACTTTCTCTGTATTTTCATAATTTTCATTGTCAGATATACTACCGTGTGCATGCCCCCTACTTAACAAATGACTGTAATATCCCGAGTTACTGTTGCTATTCCTAATGGCCTGTGTGTGGTCTTTATATTGGGTATAGACTGTTGGCCTGTTTGCCTTTATGTATTTTAGTGGGCAGTCCATACATTTCATTTGGTACATACTGTTTTTTTATATATATTTTTCATATCAATCTGTATGTTTGTGTGGATTTACCAAGTTTTGTTTGGGATATACCATCAGGCAGCAGGAGATTACCATCATCAGATGGATCAATACAATTATGATAAATGGGTAATCAAGAGACTTGTTCTGAACTTAAGACCAAACTCCACTGCGATACATTGTAACTCCCCATACCACAACATAAGAATAAACGATGTTCTGAATTCTATCATGATGAACTGATATGAAGCCTGTATGAACTGGTAATGCAGTGTAAGCCAAGAAATGTGAGGTATTCTGTGCATGAGGTGCTTAAAAGTGCAGGACACACTTCACTTTGAATGCCTTTGTATTAACCTGATCTCAGTCAATAGAGAGCTTTTGAACCCAAATGAAAGGATGACTCATGTCCAGAAGTATGTTATGTGATATAGAATCATTCAAGAACCTGTGTGAAGAAAAAGTTACACCATACAGTTATTATCGCTTGTGGTATTACGTGACTTCTGCGGCGTCTCGACTAGGTTCCAACTGCGTTGTATGAAGGCTCAGTTCCAACTGTGTTGTATGAAGGCTAATTAGTTCTGTCGCTCTCGGCTTATGTAGGTATTCTGCGGACCAGATATGAGAGACCATTCCCCAAGGTTCGATCTCCCGTGTTCGGCAATCCGTTGCTTCGGGAACGCTCTTTATACACTGGTAACATGTTTCGTCCCATCCGTTGTTACTCAGTGGCCTTCTGTTGTTCATCTCCAGGGGAACGCGTTCGTTGTTTCGGCATTGTCTACGCAACGGCTCAGTGTTATAGCGTTACCATGGAAGTATCTACTCCAAACACGTTACAATATAAAAGATATTGAACATGAGTACACAGAATGTGAAATAATTTTTGATGATGTGACAACATTATAAATTTAGGGGCAGTGAACAGTTGCAGTGGTTTGGATGATAGTGATAAAGGCAAAGCTGCTGATGGTGAAGGAGAACTGTATGGGATCTTCAGACTGCAAAACAGTGATTAGGAGTGGTAAATGTTTTTAGTTCATGCCATATGCATGCAACCAAAGGCAGTGGAATTATGCTGCTCTGACATCACACATGCTCCTATAGATAAAGTGAGACCAGTGTAGTAGAGGCTGAATGAGAGTCGTCTACTGCAAGTTAATAGGATATTTTTTATTATACTGACTGTTATAATTCATATATTTTGAAATGAAATTTCCAGTTTAAGCATTATGAGAGCAAAACTATATGAAAATTCTTGTTAAGGATATATTGTTTTTTTTCTCTCTCTCTCTAGATGTGAGCCATAAACAAGATGGAGTTACTCTAGAGACCCATCCATTAGTGGCATCTCCTGCCCTTGAGGAAGTGATTGAAACTCACAAGTCAAATGATAGTGATAGGACAGTTTCTGCCTCAGGCTCAGGGAGCATTAGTACAGATTCTGAACAGACTCCTGTTCGAGTGGATTCCCAAGATAGTCAGGTATCTGATGGGGAAGCTGTGGATAGGACTTGGCCAAGACAAAACAGTGTAAGTACAATATTTCTTAAACTAAAAGTAATTTAGTGGATCATTTATCTTACAGTGCCAAAACTTAAATGATCCGTCAGCACAAGGAACTAGTTCTGTTGATTTTTCACAGATAGTATATAAAGCAAAGTTTTTATAGTTCTTCCACCTATACATGGGTTGTTGTGAGTGATATCAGAGTTCCTTCTCTTCTGGGGGTTGTTATGTTGGTATTATGTTACCTTTGAGCTTTAAGGAATTTTATTTAATACAGTACTCTTAGGACAAAATTCCACTTAAAATGCAAGAATTATGCTAGTGAATTTGGTATATGTTGCGAAATGACTGTCTGAATCATAGTGATTTTGCTTTTTTGTATATATGTGTGTTACTGCTCTATCAGATTGCAATGGCACATTTTTCAATGTGTGTCTGTTTGACATTTAATTTATATAGCCTCAGGTTCTGATTTATACCTTTATCTATTTGCTGCGATTTTTATGTTGTTACATATTTTTGACAGCTGTCCATGAGAGAGTGGGATATACCATTTGATGAACTGAAAATTGGAGAGCCCATTGGAACTGGTAGATTTGGTACAGTATACAGAGGAAATTGGCATGGGGATGTTGCGATCAGAGTTCTCAACATGGATTATCTGGATGATGAAAAGACACTTGAAGCTTTTAAGCTAGAGGTTGGTGTTTTAATATCCTGTCATTCTTGACACTTCTTTATTGGGTCAGCTTCACTTTATGTCTTTACTTGATGCAGGAGGAGCCATATTTGAGTGTTTCATCACTATATGCAGAGAGTTAAGAATATTGTTTATTTAATACTTTTGATGAAGTAGGCATTCAGTAAATCGAATAAAAATTGTGGAATATCACAGTTCTTTCGTATGCTTCATTTTGATGCTTGAGAGCACAATATAGTAACGGGTGCAGAGGTATGCAGAACGTACCCCTCTGAAATTAAAAATGAGAATGAGGTATGCAAGTAATTCTTCCATGAAGTACAGAGAGGGAGAGGAATAAAGAATTTTTTTTTATTGCTAGTAGGGTGGGACTAAGTCCCTTGTACTACTGTGGCCACTTCTGGCCTATTGTACCAGCTCCAGATGATAGGTGAGGGTGATTGTGGAGCAATTGATGGAATGAAGATTGGCAGGGGAAACCGAAGTACTTGGAGAAAACCTGCCCCAGGGCCACTTTGTCCACCACAAATCCCACTTGACCAGACCTGGGATCAAAACTAGGCTGCCGCGGTGGGAAGCCAGTGACTAATTGCTTGAGCTATGGCGCGGCCTAAGAAGTGATGTTAGTTTGGGTAATGTTAGAATATCTACAGTGAAATACTGTTCTTAGCAGAATGGAATAGAGTTATTTATTTCTTTATTTATTTGTATTCTATTGATCCTTCAGAATAGTAAGCCAGAGATATAGATCATGTCCTAATACATTTTTCGAGTTTGAATGATTCAGGTAGCAAGAACAAGTAAGCCCTTTGATTGGTGCACATTAATAAGCCTCTGTGATTGCATGGAAGTAAGATGTTAATCATCATCATTTTCAGATGGCTGTGTATTGATTTTTTTTAAAACAAATATTATGTTTCTTCAAATTACAGGTTGCAACATTTCGTAAAACTCGCCATGAGAATTTGGTGCTGTTTATGGGTGCGTGCATGAAACTTCCAAGACTTGCTATTGTCACCAGCATGTGCAAAGGCATGACACTTTATACTCATATCCACACATGTAAAGACAAGTTCAACATGAATAAAACCACAATGGTTGCACAACAGATTTCTCAGGCAAGTTCACATTCACATTCTGTACCACAGGTTATTAAAAGCTGACAGCATTGAGGGTAGTGGCATTTTCTGAAGAAAATTACAGTTACAAGTCTTCAGTTGGTGCAGCCAGTAAGATTCAGTTAGTACAGCAACTGGACTACAGGCTGGATGAGCAAGGAATTGATGTTCAATTCCTATCAAGGGTAGGAGGCTTTTCTCTTTTTCACAGGATCCAGACTTGGTTTGTAGTGTACCAAGCCTCCTATAAGATGGGTACTTGGCAAGGGTGTGAAGTTGACCACACATTTCCATCTAGTGCTGAATTTAAGAATGGTGGACCTATACCTTTATTCTCCAGTATGTCTTCATGGTGTGGTGCTTAATTAATTAAGCACAGGAACAATTTTATTTATTTTATTATTTAATCTTGTGTTGGCAGGATTGATTTGAACTTGTTTTCTTTTTTAAATTTCGTGTCTTGTGAAAAGAAAAGATTGAGGCTGTCTGAACTAAATGCTGAGGAAGATGTTTGGACCTAAGAAAGAGGAAGTAGCAAGGAACTGGTGAAAATTATTTCATAATTTGTACTGTTTGTCCTGTGTGGAGGCGGATTAGAATGCATCCACCATAGCTCTGTGAGTCATAGAAGGTGACAAAAATGGGAACCTGGTGCCTGGAGATATAAGTGGGCCACCCTGTTACTGGGGGATATAAATACAGAGGCCTGGTCCTCCAGGTTGTGAGTTGGATGATGATGTTGCTCTTCGAAAAAAAAAATACTGTTGTGAAACCCGAAGAACTGAAACTGGATGGTCTTAATCACAACATAATAGACAAGTCTGGCAGATTCTTCTGAGAAAGGCTGTGGCTCAAAAACGGCTCTTTTGGCGATGATGATGATGATGATGATTAGTACTGTTGGTTAAATAAAAAGAAAAGGATGACATATGCTGTGTGTGTAGCATGAATAGACAGGGAATAATAAAAACAACTGTTTTGTTGGGAAACTACAAGGGAAGATACCACTTGGGACACCTAGACATAGATAGGAGGTTATTTTTATTTAAGGTTTATTTGATGTCACCAGCAGTATTGCTTATTGTGTAGCATTGAATTTTAGGATGATTGGTAAATAATAATTCTGAAAGGCTGTAGAAAAAACGATTTTGGTGTAATTTGTGATAATGTTCTGGCATTTGCTTGGAGGTACTGAGGAAAATCCTGAAAGACCTTAGCGTAACTGGTCTTGAGGCTAAGATTAGAACCGAGGATCTCCTATACGAAGCAGAAATGCTGATAACCTGACCACAGTGCTTTGGATGTGAGGATAAAATTGAACATGGAGGAATGGAGTGTGAAGTTATAGACTGGATTCAGCTGGCTCAGGTTAGGGCCAGTAAGTGGATTTCATGAGTATATTGGTGGACTTTCAGGTTTACATGAAAGGTATGAATTTCTACAGCATATGAATAACTGTAAATTTTTAAAGCACAGCCTTGAGCCATGAAGAGAGTTGTCTAGTTGTAATGTTTCACTTCTGGAATCATGAGAATTCGGAAAAGGATTGTGATTAATGAAGTAGACTTGAAAGACATAAACACAGAATGTAGAAACACTTTCACTATTGTGTATCTTGTTTTTTCTGTATTGATTCAATTTTCCTCCTCATCATCATACAGTAAGATCACAGTAGAACAAGTATGGCTTGTAATGAGAACTTTATTGTGGCAACAAAAACCATTGGAACCATCAATTTCTCAGTATTTTACATATGGAAAACTGTCACATAAGACAGAGGCTTTTTTCTGGCATATTCATCATTAACAGGTGATTCATAACTAACTGTCACTGTTTTCCCATAACTTTTTATGTCATCTGTACTTGCAGTTTTGCTTTCATAGTTATTTATGGCTAGCAGTCTATAATGATCCTATAAGCGCACCCTCTCAGTGTTACCCTCATTTAGGAAAATGTTCGAATTCTGCGATCTGATTGTGAGCAGCCTACCCTCTACATGTTTTAGCCACTGAGGAACACGTACAAATATATATGTATGTACATACTTGAAATAATACATCTGTATGAAGTCAGTAGCCCATTAAGAAACAAAATAGGAAGGCAGAATGGATTAACTTCTTTGACATTGATTATGATATTGAAGAACAAAGGGAAAATATGGTATATACTGAACCTAAGTAAACTAATTATGTTCCTTCCCCCCCCCCTCATGAGTACATATTGATGAAGTTTGTTTTGGGATCTCAGTTTAATATGTCACAGGATGTGAGGAGTACAGATGGTATAGATCCTATCAAGGTGTCTTATACAAAGGGTAGTTTCATTATGTGTGTGATAACAGAAATGTGTTATTTGATAGAAAATTGGACAGTTACAGATTCAAGTACAGTGTAAATGCCACTATCACAAATACATTTTATAGTTAATGGCTGATTCACAACTGTTGCTTAAGGATGTAGTGTCTAAATTTCTTCATTGTTTTCATATTCCTGTGATAATAACTTCTTTGACATTGATTATGATATTGAAGAACAAAGGGAAAATATGGTATATACTGAACCTAAGTAAACTAATTATGTTCCTTCCCCCCCCCCTCATGAGTACATATTGATGAAGTTTGTTTTGGGATCTCAGTTTAATATGTCACAGGATGTGAGGAGTACAGATGGTATAGATCCTATCAAGGTGTCTTATACAAAGGGTAGTTTCATTATGTGTGTGATAACAGAAATGTGTTATTTGATAGAAAATTGGACAGTTACAGATTCAAGTACAGTGTAAATGCCACTATCACAAATACATTTTATAGTTAATGGCTGATTCACAACTGTTGCTTAGGGATGTAGTGTCTAAATTTCTTCATTGTTTTCATATTCCTGTGATAATAACTTCAAAGAAGAAGAAAATATAGCCATACCCATGTTACCATTTGAACCTTGGTGCATTTTTGTAGCTGTAATTCTAGTTATGCATTTCAACAATTTTCATGATGTCAAGGTTCCACTTTCTGCATATATAACCCTTTGTATTTAAAAATGGTGTATTTTTGTAGGTATTGGTATTTTACAAAGGGGGACCCAAAAATAACCGGAACCGACCTGTTGCGCGCGCATGCTTTGTAGTTACGAGTTGTGCTGCTAGGTGGTGTTAGCTGGGGGTCTCCCGCGACTGTTAGTGAGCTGGCATCAGTCTGAGTTAAGTGGTTTGTCTGTGGTGCTCTGTTGTGTGCGTTCCTGTTTCAACCCTTTGGCGATTAGTGAGATGGCCGACCAGAAGGAACAAAGAGTGTGCGTGAAATTTTGCTTTCTGTTAGGGAAAACTGCAGCCGAGACTGTTGGGATGCTTCGGCAAGCCTTTAATGATGATGCTTTGGGGAAATCACAGGTCTACGAGTGGTTTTCCCGTTTCAAATCTGGCAACATGTCAACAGAAGACATGCCACGCCCCAGGCGTCCTTCGACAGGAAGAAATGACGAAAACATTGCCAAAGTCAAACGTGCAATTGATGAAGATCGTCAAAAGACCATTGACCAACTTTCTGAGGAAACGAACATCTCATGGAGCACGGTCCAGCGAATTTTAACCGAAGGTTTGCACATGAGACGGGTGTCTGCAAAATTTGTTCCTCGCTTGCTCGGAGATGACCAAAGAGAAAACCGCGTGAATGTTTGCTGCGACTTGAAGAGTGAAGTGCAGAACGATCCAGAATTTCTTAAAAGAATTGTGACTGGCGATGAGTCTTGGTGCTACGGGTACGATCCAGAATCAAAGCAATCATCAAGCCAGTGGAAAACTCCAACTTCACCACGACCGAAGAAAGCGCGTCAAGTGCGATCCAATGTGAAAATAATGTTGATTTGTTTTTTTAATGTGAATGGCATTGTCCACAAAGAGTTCGTTCCGCCAGGACTAATATACACTTCAATAAAAATGCAAAAATAAAAAATAACAAAAATAAATTCCGGTTATTTTTGGGTCCCCCCTCATATAACATATATATTTGCTGACTCATTGATTTGAACTTAAAAATCAATTTTGAATTAACTGGCTCTTAAGTGTTGTGAGCATCATATCTAATCTAACCTATGTAATAACTACGCATGGCAAGCAGAATGACTTACCTGTGTGGTAGGTGCCTGGCACAATCAAGATACATTACTGTTGATCTCATGATAATGTGACTTGTGACCAATATCTATGCTAAAGTTTTTGTTTCTAGGGAATGGGTTACCTCCATGCAAGAGGTATTGTCCACAAGGACTTGAAGAGCAAGAATATATTTCTAGAAAATGGGAAAGTTATCATCACTGACTTTGGGCTCTTCAGTGTTACAAAACTCTGTTTTGGGAACAGGTATACAAAGTTGGTGTTTATATGTTTGAGATATCACAGTTAACATAGCAACACCATAGTCAATATTTATATCCCATATAGAAATATAAAGATCAAAATTATGAAACTTTTGTATGTTGTAGTAGTGATGGTATATTGTTGATTCTACAAATAGTATAAATGTAACTACAGTAAGCCTTATCCAGTGCAAGGGTTATGTTCCTCAGGAATTGCACATTAGGTAAACCTACAATGAACATGGTAGTGTGGCCTTATGTCTCCCATTAATATTTAGATGGATGGTGTGGGTGGTAGACTCATCCATGTGATGCTTATGGCTGAATCATGTTACACTCATACCACCATGTAGCTTATCCAGAATCTCCCCCCCTCCTTCCCCCATTGTAATGTCATAACCTTATGACTTTTCTCTGCACTACTACTTTGAGATACTTTACATTTGGAAGCCATACTGCTCTGCACAGGTACTGTAACTGCCAAGCAAATGACAAGAGAAATCTTTAACACTTCAGTGAACTTAGCAGCCTACGTAGGGCTTGGATGAAAGATGATGCACAAGAGAAATATGGGAGTATTTGAAAAAATACAAGAGCATGTGTTAGCATGTACATTACTAGAGCATGTTTGGCATAGTACACATGTTCAAACTTTCTGCATCTGGCACATAATTATACATATTTGTTTTTATGAATATAAGGATATCCACATTGAACAAAGGTTTACTATAGTATCAAGTGTTCTTGGTCATTCAGTCTTTAAAATCATTCAGATATGTGAATTTGAATTTTCTGTTGCTGTTTTTATTATGAGTGTTTAGGAGTAAGAGACAACTTGGAAAATTAAGTAGCCAGTCCGCATTATGTTAAGCAACTGATTTGATACTTTATTCTCATTAGGAAAGGAAATACCCTGAGCATCCCTCCTGGCTGGCTTTGCTACCTTTCACCAGAAATCATTCGAAGCCTCCGAGTCCGACGGAAACATGATGAAGAGGAATTACCTTTCACAAAGGCTTCTGATGTATATGCTTTTGGGTATGTTATTTTTTGTAGATGTTCCTGTAAAGGTTAAAGCTTAAGTCTATTAGATTTTAGTAGCTAAAGATTTTCCAATGTAACATCCTGGTCTTTTGATTAAAATAGCAAGCAGGTGGTACATGCCAAATCATTTCAAGTAAATGATGTATTAAGTATTCAGTACTTTGAAACTTCATACTATATTAACCCAGATACAAGACTTTTTTCATATTTGGACAATAGGAAAAACAAGGGTTGTCTTACACTCATACTTAGAAAGCATCATGCTGGAACGAGACATTATTTACAGTACCCCACAGGTTCTAAATCTGGATACTTCAGTCATTTTGTAGTATTGCAATTTTTCACTTAAATCAAGGAAGCATGCATGCAGTTTAAGAAAAACCAATACTACACTGTGCAGTAGAATACCATGATATGAATCATGGCTAACCATGTTGAAGAAGAAGTCCTGCAGTGTCACAGGTATTGAAGGGGGTGTGTTGCATCTGTGATGCAAGTTGTAAACAGATGGTTCTGAAACTCACAGAAGAAACCAACAGTTGTGTGACAGCATGAGAATTCATTTTTAACCAGTGTAAATGTCCAACACTGGAGAAAATTGAAAGAACAATTAAGTATGCCAGTTCTGTTTGAAAAACATAAAGATTGGCTTCCAGTTTTGTGGAAGACAGTATGTATGGAAGCCTTGCAGATAGACGAGATAATGTAGCAGGTGTTACATAGACATCGAGTGTATGCAGAAAAGTGGCCCATCTCATCATAGGTGAACAACCTTATTTCAGAAGCTGTCTGGATTATGTTGAGAAGCTGGTGTCATACTAGCAGCTTGTAAATAGTCTGTTCTAGAAACATGACTACCTTAAAAGAATAATGGAAAATGCAGTTAATGTCATTTTTTTTTTATGTGTAGCAGTTACACAGTTCTGTGTGTGATGGCAAGGAGGGTTAAGTGACTATTGTCACTTTTCAGGAAATGAAGAAACAAGGTTAGATCTGTATGCAGTAATTTATTACCTTAATACTTCATTATGTCTCTGACTGAAAAGTAATGTGCTTAGATTTATGACCTAGTTCTTATTAATACTTCTCCCAAGGAGAACTCTGTGATGCACTTCTCTTTTTACAAATTTTGGGTTCATCACTTTCTACTGGAAAACCACAGAATTGATGGTTAAGGCCTGAAATCTGTGGTAGTAAAAACTTGCTGTGAGAAGCTTAGAATTATAATGATGCTGTCCATACTAGACAAAGGAAGGAAGCAGACACCCTCTCTTATTCTAAGAAATGAAAGAACAACTTCACAGTCATATGTAGTTCAGGTGCCATGAGAAAGGTTGGATGACTGAAGAACTGATGATTCAGTGAAAGAAGTATTTTGGGAATATGTGACTTGTTTTTTCTGTGAAGGAGGAGAGTGCTTGTTGTAATTGCTTTTTATGGACATGTAAGAAAGTGAAATCCTAAATATTTAAGTTGAATATGAATGTGGTGATATGTGGTAGTTAACAGAACATTCAGAAATTATCTGCATCACCATTATAGGATGTGGTTGCCGTCTGGAAACTGCCTGATTTCAGACAGGAAAATAAAGAAACAGTCTGAAGCATTACTTAAGGAATAGATAAAGATGGGCTATGAAGGCATCTCATCTCGGTCAGTTGTCCACAGTTTCAAGAAATGCTGTGTATCAGGGTAGTATATGACACCTTCAGGTGAAAGATGCTAATGCAGTGAAATATGCCAATAATAAGAAAGAAAGTTGTCACAATAGTAACTGTTAGACAAGGAATATGACCTTTTTTCCCTGTGTTTATAATTTATTTTCCTTCCTGAGGGAAAAATAGTAGGCCCTTATGAAATGTGGTATGGACATTGTGTCATTAGAGAGCACTACAAGCCGTAATTTTAATTCCCTGCAACTGGTTACAACAGCATTGTGAACAGACTTCTGAGGTTGAAGTGACACTTGTGCCACTTTTTCTTTTCTGTAGCGCTACAGCCCCAATTTGGGTCTAGGCCTACCTCCATGAAACTCTCCATTTCACTTCGGTTTACTAGATCTTACACATACGGTAGGACTCCTTGGGCGAGTGATCAGCTTGTCGCAAGGCCTCTACCTGTAGACAAACACAGAAAAACGCACACAAACATCCATGCCCTGAGTGGGATTCGAACCCATGATCCCAGCTTCCGAGCGAGCGAAGACAGTGCACGCCTTAGACCTCTCGGCTACCGTGACGGGCGCCACTTAATCTAGGGTCCTGAAATGCTTTTGGAGAAATATGCCAACTTTGTTAAGGTATTTTTTATAGAATATAAAGTGTGTAATAAAAAATAAGCAGAGAGCTTCCTTAACACCATACTCCTCAGTCCTCATGTTATAAACGTTGAGAGGCACACATCCTTCGGTTATCCTGGTAACTGAAACAATGAACTAGAGATAGCGTGTCAGGTAAGGGGATCTAGCTAATCTTTGCTTGCTTGTTTGTTTCTAAAGCATATAGGTTGATTGGGAAGAGAGGCAGCAAGCCATTCCCTCATCAGACCATGTTTCTGACCTGTGAAGTTCCTACCCTGCCCATTTAAATACTTGACAGTTATGAGAGGTTGTCTCTTCACCCGAAACATTCAAAACCTTATGTAGTGCTTTTGGTGCCAGAGTTTTGGATACACCGAACAAAGATGTACTTCACGCCTAGTTTATGGTAATTGTATAGAATCTAGACACTTCAGATCAGCCTGTTATCTGGAAGAAACTGTGGCACTTGTCAAATAAATGCAGTGGCACTTCCATACCTGGCATATGAGTTTGCAGTGCTACCATTACATCCCAGACAGACATCGCCAACACGGTTAGCACTGATTTTACCTCTCTGTTTAGTTCAAAAATATTGATGCATCTTTTAAGCTTCTGAAAGACAACATAGAAGCATTGTCCACTAAACTTTGGCCCTCTGCTCCCTGATCCATATGTTGTGGGGTTTCGTTTGGACGAACTTCTTACGGCATTAGATTGCTGTCAGCAGTACATCCCTGGGTCCCAGCAGTATCCATAACTAAATGCTCTCTCACATTCCAGCTACAGACAAGAAGTTTTTGCTGTCCATGTACAGTGGTAAATGGTCAGGGAACTTGGTTCCATCTGGTTCCTGGAGAGTAGTGGCAATTGTCTACCAAAATCAGGTAAGGAGGACTCTCCCAAGAAGTTATCAGTCTGTTGGTCAGACTAGTCGTGTTTGTAAGACCACTGAGTGTATTCGGAACCATAGACTTTTCTGGCTTCTGGATAATAAATCTACATGTGAGTGTTCACCCTGGGTTTCAGTGCTACAGAAATACCCTTGACCACCACGTGAACCTAGAGCACTATATCCAGAATTGTTTCCTCGTGCCAACACCTTGTTGCAGTCTTCTTCAACTTGGCAAAGGCACATGACATGACTTGGTGATATGGTATCATCAAGACCCTTGATCAGTTGAATCTTTGTGGTTGGCTGCAACTATTTCATTTGAGCTTTGTCCATGATTGTCACTTCCACGTTTTTTCAGCAGTGTCTGCTCTACTGTTTATCCCAAAACAAAAAAGAGTACCAGAAGGATCTGTTTTAAATGTCATCCTGTTTGTAGTAGCCATCAGTGGGATGGTTAACATGGTTGGTCTGTCTCAATGTCATTGTATGTTGATTACATTTCCTGGAGCATGGTCACCATAGAACACCAGCTACAGTTTGCCCCAAATCATTTGTCACAGTGGTTATGCAGAATGGATTTTCCTTCTCTGCAGCAAAGAGCCAGTGTTCACTGGAGGGGTTTACATCCTCGCCCTTATCTGTTCCATAATGACAGTGCCTCTGCCTCTGCTCCAGTTTTCTAGTTTCTGCACCACTGCCTTGCCGGGTGACTTACATGGGAACTTCACTTGAGATGGCTTTGTGTTAAGAGCAAGAGGTCACTCAATATTTTAAGAGTTTTGAGTGGCAGGTGGAGACGAGACAGTGATACTTTGACTTTACCATTCCTTGATCATCTCTGAGAGAGACAGGCAGCTTCATGTACGGCTCTGCCATGAAGTCTGAATTGTCAGTAATAGATGCTGTCCACAATACCGGGATGTTGAGGTGCCTCTAAAAACACACATACACACATCCTCACCCTCAACTCCCCTCTTGAAATGAGGCACTTTGGATTATAGTGGCATAAACCGACCTGTAGGAGTATATGTTTTAGGCCACTCTTTTTAAATTTGGAGCCATTAGGATTGCTGTACAGTGTGAAATGTTTCACAGAAGAGAATTCTAAGAAACGAAACTGAGACTGTATTATTCACTTTGCTATTAGACCTTGTCCATTCTGTGTTTTAGAGCAGGAAAAGGACCAACATATGCAAACAGGAAGGAAGTAATTACCACAGATGACACAGTTGAAAGTAGAGTTGTATTTCTCCCTCATTTCAAAGAAAAATTACTGAAATATGTGAAAACAATCAGAACAATATGTAAGATTTGAGGCTTTCATGGCGGTGACTATGAAGAAAGCAGTCTTCTGGGATTTGGCACCGTGTATATGTGGTGTTAACCGACGTTTCGGAGGAACGTATCGCCCCCATCTTCAGGGTAGAAGATGAAGATTGAAGCGATACGTTCCTCCGAAACGTCGGTTAACACCACATATACACGGTGCCAAATCCCAGAAGACTGCTTTCTTCATAGTCACCGCCATGAAAGCCTCAAATCTTACATANAAATTGTACTAAATACAGTTTATTTTATGACATTTCAAATGGAAGCTTCACTCAACCAAATGTGAGTGCACGACTTGCACAATAAAGGTTAACAGAGAAACAAGAAATGGTGAAATTAGGATACAGCGATGTGGACATTTGTGGGATATGGATGAGAGCTTTACAAAATTATATTAAATAGATGACCATTGAGAAGACCATGGGTAAGGTGGAGAGATCAAATGTGGGACAGCAGAGAAAGAATGGATCCATATACAATCCAACAGAAGCACTTGATAGGGGAGAGAGAAGGCTGGAGAAGGCTTTGTTCTATAGTAGTCCAGCCTGGTGAATGATGGTTGTAATGATGACTACCATGCTCTGAATGGTGGTTTCACAAAAAGCATAGTCAGCTTAGGCATCCAACCTATTATTGAACATTTAACTCTGTATCCATATCTGTATTTTGTAAGTTCTTTATTCATTGCAGAATTTAAAGTCAGTAAGTTTTAGTTAATTCATTCCAAAGTTTTCCAGCTGAAACTCAAAAGGTTATGTAAAGAAAACAATACACATGGTATATTGTATTTATTTCAGAACTGTGTGGTATGAATTACTTTGTGGGGAATGGCCATTCAAGGCCCAGCCTCCAGAAGCCATTATCTGGCAAGTTGGTAAGGGAATGAAGCAGTCACTGGCAAATCTTCAAGCATCTAGAGATGTCAAGGTGAGGACCCAAGGGTTTGTACTTAAAGTTTATTTTATTTAAACTATTTAATAGTATGATAATATTTTAGATTTAATTATTATAATCACATGGTTTGAATTTTTGGCAAAGCCACTGATGGTGGCATGCAAAGTAAGAATGTAAATTTAAATAAAGATTTCTTTAGGCGGTCTGCTAAATATTGCTTCATGTTGCCTTCAAAGTACTCTCTATAGGAGTTCATAAACAAACCATACAATTCTCCCATTATGCCCAAGCACATTAGAAATTCTTTTATAATGCTTCGAGTACCAGCTGTAAAGTTTTCTGAAGCTCAAATTATTGGATATCATTTCCTTCAGCTTCAGTTTCATTCTTGAAAACAAGAAGTCAAAGGGATCTGGAGAGTAAGAGAGCCTCACCTCAGCCATTTTGTTCTCAGTCATGAATTGTAGAATAGACAGCAGTGTAGTGTAAATGGCTGCACTGTAGTGATGAACCAGCTAATTTCCATTTTGCCTTTTCTCAGGACATTTTCCTGTAGATCTTTGTAGTACTGTGGATTGACTGTTTGGCCTGGTGAATGAATCTGTGATACACGGCCCTTTCACGTTAAAAATGAAAAGCAGTTTGCCTTTGGTATTTGGTAAGATTTGTCTGGCCTTCTTTGGGCATGGTGACTGCAGAGATTTACATTTTGACAATTTCTATTCTGATTCCTAATCATGTCCGTAAACCCATATTTGATAAGAAATGTTTTTATCCATTTTGTTGGGATATAGCCATCCACAACATTTTTCATCTTCCATAGAAATTTCTTTGAATCTTGAAAATTGTGCTTTTGATGAAGCACCTTCTCCAAAGGCTATAATGTCATGCGTTTCAGAAACTGCTTTACCAGATTTGACACAAAAGTTCATCCAAATTGTTCTCTTCAGTTGCTCTTTTAAAAAGTAGCAAACCATGTTGTAAACATCTTCACTGAACTGCTTCGCATATAGTATGTAACACTAGATATAATAGCATACTCAAGGCAGCCTGCTTGTGGAAGTACACTCTGTCATAATTTTTTGGTACAGCTGCATGTTCACTAAATGTAAAAATAAGTATTCTGTCATTTTCTGAGGATCAGTTTTAGTGGTGTAATCAGGTTTTCATCGAATTGTTATGGTGTTGGTGTTTATCATCATTCATTTCATTCTATTTACTTTGCAAAGAGCTCCAGATCAGTGTATATAAAGCAGTAAGTTTGACATCTGATTGTTTATTGATGAAATATAGTCTCTGAGGATTGAGGTTCGCATGGTAGTGACTGGGATGTTATATCATGTAGTCTGGTAGAAGTTTACTGATCACTGGGATGAATGTACTGCTTCCGGCTTTAGGGTCGAGGAATAAGCTCCTTGCTTGCTTGGCTTATTCTTTGACTCTGAAGATGGAGCTGGTACATTTGTATGAAATTTTGATAAATTTCTACAACACTACAGAGTGGAATGTCCCAGAAGATAGTACTCCTCAAATATGGTGTCCTTAAGAGAAGAAGATAAATTGCAAGTGTTTCTAAGATCCTCTGAAAAATATTTGGACATGAGAGGAATGAAGTAAATATGCAGTTTAGGATATTACTTATCAAGAACTTCATGATTTATAATACTGGTCTTCTGATGTTGTTAAGATATGATTGGCACACACACACACAGCTTGAATGGGGGAGGCAAATGCTTGCAGAATTGTGATAGCATACCTCTTGGAAATTCAGAAAGCTGAGGAGATTGGAGGACAAATACTATGGTTCAGTTTATTTATTTATTTATCCTTTGAGGCCCTAACTTCAAGGTCAGCCATTGACCATTGAAAAAAATAGCAGAAAGGTTCAGGTAAACCCTTCTCAGTACCACATAGCTCATTCTTGCTCTACATGGAAAACTGAGTTAAGAGTAATCCATTTGACATTAATTTGGCTGATGCTGCTTAAAAAGAAAGGTAACGCTATCCCTGTAACAAGCTGTGAAGGCCCATAGGGTTGTGAGATATCAGGTCTTCCACATTTTCTGTAGACAGTTGGCTCACAGATGGTGGTAAGGTTGTCAGCCTTACGTGCTAGCCGCCCTTTACCCCCCCCCTCCCCAGGAAGATTCCTGGTACTCATTTCTGATAGAGGCTAAGTCAACCTTAGGCCCATAGTGTTGCTGGAAGGATTAGGTAAATTGAAAAAAATCCACCTCATCGAGACTCGAACTCTTGACCTTCCGGCTTGTAGCATAGTGCCTCAACCCACTACACTGTCGCATGCGCCAATGCTGCTTAACTTGTGAATGAGATCTGGCTCTCTAATGTGGAGAAACTCATTCAGCATTGCCCTCTGTGAATTTTGTTTAACTTTTACTTTGTATGTTATATGGCCTTGTGGAGCATGTTGGTGACAGGGTACAGTCCCAGCTTAGTGTAATGTATTAACTCAACTGAAATTGTTGTGTAATTCTGGCTAGAAAGGTATCTCATTAATACCTATCCTCTGGCTCCTTCTGTACTGTTCTGCTATACTGAATTCTTTTGCTTGATGGATTTGCATTTAAAAGGCATGTTCTTTGCATCTGTCCGACTGGACAAATGCTGAAAATGATGCTGAACCATGCCATACAATGAATTCTACAAGACAAATCATACTGGCCAGAACCACAGGGTACATTGATTGTCCAGTGAAGAAGGTGATTGAGATCAGACTACACATCAAAAATATAATGAATTCATACTCGGCTGATCCTGGTACCCATCATGTTCATGCTTCAAACAGTTATATCACTACCACAGGAGAGGGTTCAATGCGTTACCCTGCTCCAGAAAGCCAGATCATGTTCGAAACAGACACTTAAGTGCATTCAGACAAGATAGTTGCACTAACTTGGTGTTCCAGGCACAGCAGCATCTTTTGATGTTAATGTTGGGATGGGTTCACATTCAAGTCTGCCTGCAACCCATTTATAGATGATGAATGGTTGACATTGAAGGTGGGGTCTCTTATTTACAGGTCTTTTATGGTGTTGTTTATACTATATTGTCTTGAATGGTAGGATGATAGATAAATGATAAATTGGATAGAATTTGAAAGGAAAGGGTTGTGGCCTGATCAAGGTACTGTCCTGGCAGTTGCCTGGGGTCACTGAGGAAAACTGAGGAAATCCTCGGTCAAGTGGCTGATACACCAGCCAAGATTCAGACTGAGCACCTCCCAAATATGAGTTAAGAGCATGACCACTGTGCCAACCTGTTCAGTGAAAGTGTGATCTCTGTGCATCTGTAGATACATGTACACTGATAATTACTCATATCATTCCCTGATGATGGAGACAGAGATGGTCTCTGAAACAGTAGACTTCTGCTCTAGATTAATGTTGCAGATTGCCCAAGAAGATTGTATCACTTTGGTTTGCCACAAAAGCTCCAAGTCTAATAGAGATCTTGTAAAAGTGTAACTAATGCAATGATAACTTGGTTTGAACAGTTTTTAACCTTCAGGTCATTATAGTACAGTCTTTGATGTTTAATCAGATTTAAAAATTTAAAACATGCAACACCAATACACATTTTATAGCTGTTCTGAGTGTAAGTGAAATACAAGGTGGTTCAAATATGACCGGGACTGATTTATAAAAAAAAAACATAATTGCCAAACACTTACTTGCACATGTCAGTCTTCAACCTACTCCCCTCCAGAGTCTACACATTTTTTCCAATGTTCTGGAAGCATCCTGATGCCCTTTCCAAGAAAGGCTTGTGGTTGGAGGCGTATCAACTCCCGAACAGTCTGGATGACGGCGGCGTCATCCACAAACCGCATGCCTTGCAAGTCTGATTTGAGCCTTCCGAACAGGTAGAAATCACTTGGGGCCAAATCAGGACTGTACGGTGGATATGTCAGAAGGTTCCATTTCAGTTTCCGGAGGGTTTCCATTGTTGTTTTGGCCGTATGGGGGCGTGCATTGTCTTGAAGGAAGGCTACCCGCTTTCCACATGTCTTCCACTTAGATCAGATCTCTTCCTTCACGTCTGTTGCCAGGAGGTCTGAGTAATAAGCTGCATTGACTGCTCTGGCATCTGTCAGAAAGTCTACATGGATAACCCCCTGCCAGTCCCAGAAGAGTTGCCATCGCTTTTCCTGCCGAATGGCTCCTCCGCGTTTTCTTGGGTTTGGGAGAACTGGTATGCCACCACTCGTGTGATGACTGCTGGGACTCGGGAATGAAGTAGTGCACCCACGTTTCATCGATGGTCACTATAGACTTCAAAAATGCATCACCTTCCTCTTCAAACTGCTGTAGGAGACGACTGGCAGCTTGCATGCCCACCATTTTGTTCACGTCTGTCAAAGTGCATGGTAGCCACCGTGCATTCACCATGTGATGGTGCAGGTGGTATTTCACGATGTCTTCTACACTACCAACACTGATGGACAGCATTGCTCCAAGTTCCTTGATAGTGATGTGCCTATTCTCATGAATAAGCGCATCTGCACAATCAGTGTTTGGCTCGGTGATGGATGTTCGCGGCCAACAATCGTGCGGTTCATTCTAAACGCGCCCTCTGCCCTCTCTGAAGCACTTACACCACTCAAACACACGGGTCCATGAGAGACACTCTTCCCCATACTGTTGTTGGAGTCTGGTGAATTTCAGCGGATGGGACGTTTTCTCCAACGCGGAATTTGAACACAATGCGTTGTTTCACGCTCTGTGGTACCTTCTGTTCACTCATCACTCTAGCAACTCCCAGACAGGACTGAACAGGTTCTAACCCTAACAGGAGGGAGGGTGAAGTTTATGGTTTCACTCTCTCAAGGTCGCACAGCTGCTGCGCAGTGCGGCTTGTTTACACACAAATCAGTCCCAGTCATGTTTGAACCACCTTGTATGATAGTAATAAATGAATCATTAATGGACTTTGGTGTTATTAGTTTAGTATTAATAAAAACAATTGATATTACTCTTTTTGCGACAGTCTCGAAGTATTGTTTACAATTCATC